TGATGCTGCTGCATAGCACACACCCCACCCCTAAATCTTAGTGGTTTACTGAGATACCATCGATGTTCTTACTCACGTGTGTGTGGGTCACTTATGGCTGCTCTGCTTAAGGCTGTGAATCATATTGAGGTCTGTCCATATGTGTCTCATTTTGCAGTCGGCAACTTCCTGGGGTATGCACTTCTCATGGCAGATGACAGAAATACAAGAAGAACTTGGCAGAACTTTTCAATGCCCTTTAATATCTCAGCACAGAACTCATTAATGATCACTTCTGCCCATTTTCCCTTATCCCGAGCAAGTCATATGGCGGATTTCAAGGTCAATGGGATGGAGAAGTATAATCTACCTAGTGAAACTATGGCACAATACAGGGACTAGAAGGAGAAATTATGAACAAATAACACATTCCTCCACACTTCCCTTCTGCAGGGTGTCAACAGAGGAGAAAAGAAGGGTGGGCAAGGAGGGAAGAAATAAATAGTTGGATCCCTTAGGAACTCTGCCTTGTGCCTCATGTGTAAGCGCTTGTCTGGCCTCCTTTGTAGAACTGGTCCAGCACTCGTTGCAGGTAGAGAAAAGCAGTTCTGTGGGCGTGGCAGCTTTCTGGATCCTCCCCCAGTCCAGGTATTTGTGATGAGGGACACACTACTCAGAGACAGTCTAGAATTCACCAGAAGCCTTCTTTAATTCTGCTTGCAGGAACACATCTAATTTTATTTAGGAAAATAAACAGAAGCAAGAGCTGGTGAAATTCAGCAAAACAGACTATACTATATACCAGTTGTCAAAATAACTAGATCTTTGTCTAAATTCAACCGCTTCTCTTTACCCTTTCAACAACTTTTTAATGTATGGGCACTGTCTCTTATGATTTGCTCCAAATGACATCTTCTATTCTCCGGAATATAATAAAGTGAAGTCGCTCAGTCGTGTCCGACTCTTTGCAACCTTTGGACTGTAGCCTACCAGGCTCCTCCGTCCATGGGATTCTCCAGGCAAGAGTACTGGAGTGGGTTGCCATTTCTTTCTCCAGGGGATCTTCCCGACCCAGGGATCGAACCCAGTTCTCCCGTATTGCAGGCAGACGCTTTAACCTCTGACCCACCAGGGAAGCCCCCAGTATATAATGGTGGTAGGCTAAGAATCCTTCCTTTGAATTCTAATACTTCATTTCTGTTTCAACTCTAGGTGAAGAGGCAGCCCCACCTCTATTTAACCAGAGGGTTCTGGCCAAATGTGTAGTGTGGTTGTAGACAGTTACCAGATACACCCTCGTAGATTCACTAATTTCAGGAAGAGTACAGGGAATTAATCAAAGCTGTTTAACTGTCATAACTGAGGATCACTCAGAATGTATCTCAAGATATCAAACTGTATGAAAGTCATCTCCCTACAGATCTTTTTTGAGGGATATTTAGCAACAGCTGTGGGAGCAGAGGATGGCAGGCAGAGCTGGGCTCTGTTACAGTCTCAGAAGAGTTACACAACCACCCTTCTCCAGGTGTGGTCCCCGGACCACCAACATTAGAATCAACTCAGGCTGTCTGTTAAAAATGCAGAGTCACAGGCAACCCCGCAGACTTAATGAACTAGAATTTCTGGGTGCAGGACCCAAGAATTTCCACTTCTCTACACATCAAGGCTTTTGTATAACATCAAATATAGACAGAGGTCCCATACATCTTTGATTCCAAGTATCAGTTATGGAAAATGTGAAGTTTTTATAATGCCAAATTAATCATTCTCACTGTTAAACAAAAAGGATCTCTTTCATTATTATTATTCCTGAAGGTTTTTTAAAAAGACTAAATTGGTTGAAACTTTCAGCCAGGGTACTCCTGAAATAAGATTTCTTTTGCCCCCTTCCCTCTTTTTCTTTTTTAATGTAATTTGAATATTTGAAACTATTTTTCATTAAGACTATTTCAGTAATAACCATTTTCCTCCCATTTTCTCAAATACCAATGGCCTACAAAACTCATATAAAAATTTTTGGATGAAAGATGAAAGTTAAGAGACACAATTATTGTGAAGGACAGGAGATTTTATTTGTGTGTAACACAAATTTTAACACATTTTCCCCCTAATGAATAGATGATAAACTGCCTTTTTATGCTTTTTAGGTAAAAGGACTCTCTTCGGTGAAAGTAGTGTAACCACGTAAATCAGGATTATCTTTCATCTTCCACTTAGTAAGTATATTTTAATATTTTTAATCTATGTGCATGGGATAATAAAAAGCATCAACTGCTTCAATAAATGAGTTAAACAAAAAGACAGTTTTGAGAGCTGAGAGAGGTATGAAAAACATTAACCAAGAACAAGTCCTAAGGACTCTTCCCTCCCTTTTCTACCTTCTTTCACCTCCTGTTATTACATGTAAGTTTAAAGGATTTCATCTTAATGGCTTCCTGCTTCCAACAATGTGGAAAGTGAATTTGAATCATTTGGAATATTCTGAACCCTTACTGTAATCATGAACACAAAGATGCAAAAAGATGTTGAAACATGTTTTCCATATTAAGAATATCACCCAGATAGTTGAGAAAAAGTCTTCCATTAACTCGCCTTTAATCCAATTAGCAAATACATGTCATTCTAAAAGATTCTGGTACCATTGCTCAGAGGGAGAACAATCCAGAAAAGGAAACACAAAAAGGATATTTTCAGCACCATGACATTTAAGGACTAACAGAACTATGGTAAGAAAGATAATGATAAAGCTCATGCATTTAAGACTTTTATGTGGTTGGGCTCAGAGCTTTTTCACCTTTTTCACTTTATTTTATGACAAGTAAATAAATTGTTGAGTGACAAGAAAAAAATAATGTTTCCTTCAAAGTGATTTCATCAGACGGGCGGCCGCAGCGGCGGATCAGCTGTTCCGAGGCTGCACAACAACAAAAGGAGCGGAACGCACCGGCGGCGGCCAGCAGCCCGGCCTCAGGAGGGCTGGAGCGGCCCCGCGCCCCGCGCCCTGCCGTCCGGGTGCCGCAGCTACCTCAGCCGCCCGCGTGCGGGTCCCCGCCAGCTGCCTTTGCCGCCCGTCCGGCCGCGGGTCGGGCCCACGTAAGTGCNTAAGGTAGGTAGTCAACCATGAAATTACAACTCAAAGAATAAGAGCAATGAAAAAACTAAGTGTTCTAGGCCTGCCAAGACATTGGAGTAACTTAGGTAGAACTTATGAAACTATTATTTCTGTCCTGGGTATTTACTCAACAAGATCCTGGCAAATAAATCCAATTGAAGAGAGAGATTTAGGGGAATCATTTGCTTTTCCCTCTCTGTAGACACTACATTGTTCAAGTGACAAGGAAGACCTAAAAGGGAACCTGTTGTGTGAAATTAGTAGTATGTATCAAACAGAGTGTGTCCAGTCCTCTGGAATGGCCTGAAACTCTCCAGTGAGATGCAAAGGGAATTTTTCTCTAGTATGGTGATCCTCTCACAGATGATGCCCCATCCTCTGTCTCTCTTACTTTTAGCCAGTTTGCTTCTTGAAGCCAGGCAGAACATCCTTAAAGAAATGGGCATCCTCTGCCTCTCTACTCTAAATTATTAGTAGTTTGGGAAGCTTTGTGGAGTCTGTAGGACATGGGCCAATTAGGAGAGAAACAGAGGGACGGGGGGAGTGGTGAGGGAAGAGACATACCCAGGGAGACAGTGAGACATGGAGAGAGGTGAAGTGACACTGAAAGTCCTTGAGAATGTACTGACTTTAGAAAGCCTTTTAAAGACCAATCACTAATTCAATATGATTAATTACCTTAAAGTAGCTTGTAGAGTATTTCCTGAGAAGAATGGGAGGTCACTTTAAAGGAAATAAATAAACCACAGCTAATATGCTGATGTTTTCAAGAGAAAAGGCAATTGCTAAAAATGGCCATCCAATTTCCATTACTTACTACAGTCATTAGAAACAAGGAATATGTTTATTGATCTGAAGTGGTCCAAACAATATTTTCTTTGTTCAAACCAATTTAGCTGGAGGAAAAGTCAAGAATTGCCTAGTGTGGGGGTGGTGGGAGAGAAGCAGATTCTTTACATGAGAAACTTGTTTTTCTATCCTACAGCCACTCACCTAAGAAGAATCACTGGGTCTCTATTAAAGCAAAGCAGTTGTTGCCCCTGATCACTATTGGTTTAGCTGTAGGCCCTTGAGACTCCAAGTAGGTTTGGAATGAGCAGGATCAGTATAACCTGGGCATACATTAGAAAGGTAGACTCTGGCCCCACCCCAGTCCTAACTGAATCATAATCTAGTTTTTAACAAGAAGTTTCATGATTCATATGCACATTAATGTTTGAGAAGTACTAGTCTCTACAAACATGAATGGTTATTTAAACATGTGATAGAAAAAAGAGATGGTTAAATAAAGGAGGAAAAACTATCTGATAAAAGCACCTTTGTCCAAAGATTTGTTGGTGTTGATAAACTTGCTGGTATTCACTTAACCCAGGTTTGAAGTAAAATCTTTAGAGGCCCATTCTGAAAAGACGTTTACCAGCTCCAGCGTCCTCATGGTTGAATGAGCACCCACAAATGGTTGCTGACTTTGTTTGTGTCCCCAGGTGAGCAGAAATGAGTGAACAAGCAGAAAAAAGCAGTTCCGTGCGAGAGAGACATGCACGTCAAAGTTCTCCTGAGAGAGCCAGGGAGATGGAGGAGAAGAGAATGAAACGGGTGGACCGGCTGTTAAAACGGTTGGCATTTCAAAACCCCGGGCCTCAGAACGCCAACTTTAATCCTGAAATAAGGCAGCAAAAGAAGAAAGAGCAAATAGCAAAGGTGAAAGAGTTTTTTTCTCCAAAGCGCGCAGTCAGGAAGTATGACAGAAAAGGCAGGCTCCTCGTCAATCAGGCTGACCTGTGTGATTGCCTCGATGAAGACTGCCTGGGTTGCTTCTACCCGTGCCCCAAGTGTAACTCCACCAAGTGCGGGCCCACGTGCCGCTCCAACCGCCGCTGGGTCTACACCAGCGTGCTCGACGAGAATGGGGAGGTCATCAGCACGATGCCATTTGACATCTCCGACTAGGAGCAGCCCTCCAGGCTGATCAAGTTTCTCTTCTTTGCAGTTAAAGCAGCCTCTTTCTCCTGGGTGAATTTTAGGACTGGGGGGAAAAAGTTTGAAAAATATAGTTTAGACTAGTTAGTGTTTTCTGAAGCCATAGAACCCTGCGTAACGCGCTGTCCTTCTCTAACCTTCCTGCTGTGACGACTCAAATTTCTCCCCTGGTAACCAGCAACTCAGTTGCTACTCTGCTCTCACATTAAAACTCCCTTTCCTCTTTGCTGGTACCTTAGGAGGTGGAGTTTTAGGATTTTTAGACTTCTGTAGCTGAGAGCTTGTTTTGACATGGAACATATAGTTTATAATAGCTAGTTAGCATTAGGATCTTACACATTATCAGTTCTAAATCAGAATTGCTGTTTGGATTGGCTTGGTACTGCATACTCATAGTCTCATTTTTTTATTGTTGCTGTTTTAACAATATTAAAAAGAAAGTTGTTTGTTTTTTTTTTTTTAAAAAAAAAAAGCTTCATAGGCCCCATGGCCCCACGTGGCCCATCGTATGAGCACAAAAGCAGAGATTCAATTTAAGTGATATCCAAAATGCCAACTGGAAGCAGACTTCAAAGGACAAGTTTTAATCTAATTGTTACATACAAATGATTTAAAAGCATTTTTTTGGTGGCTAAGGTTACCAGCCACACAGAACTGCCAAGGTGGTACAAAATTCCCAAGGCCTAAGTTGCATTTGGTCTTGGAGGTATAGGATTTAAGGAGATTCAGCTAGAGTTTCTGCTGAGCTCAGTGAAGATACCATCTCAGAAGACTGATGTGAAACATCTGGGCCAGGTTTGGCAGCTAGTGTGCAAAACTGCTTTTAGGCAAAATCTCTATGAAAATGTTCACACCCATAGCGTCTTTGGGAAAGTTACTGTTCAGTCATCTTTGATACCAAGTTTTATTCAAATAATCTGTAGGAAGAAAGTTGCTTTTCCACTTTTCCATCTTTACTACTCAGGAACATTTAATTGCTTCTTCTGAAGCTTTGGATTCGGCACAAAGAGACTTTCCACTGAACACAGTTGTGCAGGCACTGGCTGAGGCTGCAGACGTAATGGGCTAAAAATAGACAAAAAACCCCTCTCTCTATCCCACCAAATAGCCATGTATGTTTACCCACTAGAAAATCTTCACCTGAGACCACTTTTGCCTCTGACTAACTCACCCAAAATCTCTTTGTGGCAAGTTCATTAATAAAAAGCATTTAATTTTCCTTACGTTGGTTTGTGTGTGTGTGAGAAAGTGTGTGTGTAAATCGCTTGCCTTGGGAGTAAAATTTAAGGGGGATTGGGTGGGGTCACCAAAAAACCTCAATAATCAAGAAAAGTAGTATTTCAATGCAGTATTCTAAAGAAATCAAGGTTAATACAAAAGATGTATTATGACCAAAATATCAATACTTTAAAGATGGGATCACTGTTGCTGAATTCTCCTTTGGCCTCTGGCTCCAGTGTGGTTTAGCATGGCACTGTGACTGATCCGGATTTTGATTTTTCCTTCCTTCTTTTTTTTCTTTTGCCATGGTGCACAGCTCCTGGGATCTTAGTTCCCTGACCGGGAGCCAAACTTGTGCCCCCTTTAGTGGAAGGGTAGAGTCCTAACCACTGGATCACCAGGGGAGTCCCTGTTTTTTTAATAAACATTTCATTAAACCATCATTCATCTTATTGCCCTTTTAAATTTTGCACTGGGATTGAGTCCTGGTCCTGTTACATACATTTAATGAATGCCTGCCACTTACTGAGCACTGTTGGGACATAGCAGCCCTTGCTTTCAAGGAGCTCACAACTTTATTAGAAAAAACAGGAGAGTCCACAGAGAGTAAGTAGGACAATGGGACAGAGTTAAGCAATGGAAGGAGCGATATGAGATGAGCCCATGTGGACTAAACAACACAGCATTTCATCCCGAGGTGGTATGTATCCCAGAGTTGGTGATGAATGCAGGCTGGAGATGGAGGCCTTGGAGTCAAGCCCTACCTCTTCCAATTCTAACTGGCTGTGTAATCTTGTGCACTGTATCCATTTAACTCCCCTGCACTTCTGCTTCTTTCCTCATTAGTAAAAGTGAGAAAAATAATTACATCGACTTAAGTGGGTTGTGAGGGTGACTTGAGCTCATATAGTGAGTCCTGAGAATAAAGCCAGAACTTAGGAAAAATTGTTAAATGTTACCCTTAACTTGTAAACACTCATCTTGAGCAAGGAGAAGCTCTATGAGTTAAAATTGAAGCCAGCTCTTTTCTAGGCAAGCTGGTTAGAGTTGCGGTGATTTTTATCTTTCCCTGACTTGTCACTGTGTGTCCCAAACCACTTTCCCTTAGTTCCAGTTGAACAGGAAAAGCCGTTTCATCTTTGGCAGTTCTTCCAAATTCAGTAGACTGTGACTGGTCATTTAGAAAGTTAATGAACAATTCCTGGCTCATGTACAAATGTACACCACCTCATCATTTTTTCTCGGAACCTTTGATATAAACAAGTGGACACCGTGACGTTCCCCCTTAGAATGTACATGGAGTCTCTTATTCACCATGTTTTAGAGGGAGACTGATATGAGCTCTTGGAGGTAGTTAGAAGTAACTTTCCAGTACCTTACAAAATCCTGTGAATAGGAGCACAGGGCTGAACTGGGAAGAGGACTTTTACTGTACTGAAGGAGAAGAAAATTTGCTTTTTCAGCTCAACAAGATTCCACCACCTTAATTTGAATCAATTGTGTATTTGGAGAGGGTCTAAGAGGGTACCATCTCTGCTCCCCTAATTTATTCCTGTAACTCTGTCAGCTCTGATGTTGTAAAAAAAAAAAAAAAAAAGTCCCACTATTTAAAAGTACTCCTCAGTTTTCCAAATTTTCTCAAAATTTAAACATGGACTAAGTGATAGATGGTATTTATGAATTCTTCATTATTTTCTTAACTGTAATAATAGCATTGTGGATCATATAAGGAGAACATTTTCCTTCCTTCTGTCCTTCCTTTGGAGAAGCATATTAAAAGGAAAAGGGACATACTAACTGAGATTTTCTTTAGAGAAATCTTGAACCCCCTCAAAAAAAGTGTTGGGGGGTACCTGATAAAAGAAAAATGGCAAGGCATTGGTTGTTGGATCTGGGTAAGTCCGGAGTGGTTACTTGTAGTCTCTGCTTTTATGTAATTTGGAAATTTTCCCAATAACAAAACACATTTTGGGAACTTCCCTGGCAGTCCAGTGGTTAAGACTTTGCGCTTCTATTGCAGGGGTTTCAGGTTTTATCATTGGTTGGGAAACTCAGATCCCGCAGGCCATGCAGTGAGTCCAAAAAGAAAAGCAACACATTGTTCTATTTTTAGGCACTGTATCTCCATCTTGCCTTGGCACCCCCACCTGGGCAACAGACTGGCATTATCCCTTCCTCAATCCTGTAAAGTGGTTTCTCTACCAGTGTGCGGGTGTGGACTGCAGGCGCAGTTGAAATAGAGACCCTCTCAGCCCTTGGAGCACTCATGGGATCCAAGGCAGAGGGTGGGATTCTTGGAGCAGTTAGAATTTCTGCCCTGGTAGCCTGGGGCCATAAGTAGCCTCAACCTTCTACCCTAGGTTGCTGTTCTGATAATCAATGTCTTTGAGCCAAGGCGTGAAAAAACACTGACTCAAGATTGTTTCTGTTAAAAAGTAAATATTCCTTTGGAGGAGATGACTCAGCAAGCTATTATCAACTCTTAACACCTCAAGTGCTTCAGCTATCAACTCCCCTGATCCTGACAGCTCAGTAACAACTCCCCTGGGTAATGGGTGAGTTTTGGACTATCCCAAGATTTGGTGGGATAAGACCCTGGGGAAACCAGTGAGCTGGGCTCCGGAATGAAGTTAGCCTGAGGGGAAGTGGGGAAGAAAGATGCTGAGAAGTTAGAGCCGGGTGGTGGTGGTATTGGGAAGAATTGTAGGCTGGGGTATACCAGGGAACCCCAGAAGGAAGAAGTCACATTCTCTGATTCTTCTCAGAACAGGGCTCCTTCTAGGCTGCTTCATAGCAGTGTCATGAAATAGTTTCACATGGAGAAGTAACTCACCAAGAAACTTCCCAGGTCTTCTACCCCCCCACAGATTTATGTACACCTGAAATTTTACCAAGTCATTAAAGAACTGTGCTCAGGGGAATTCTTCAGTTCAGTTCAGTTCAGTCACTCAGCCGTGTCCGACTCTTTGTGACCCCATGGACTGCAGCTCGCCAGGCTTTCCTGTCCATCACCAACTCCCAGAGCTTACTCAAACTAATGTCCATTGAATTGGTGATTCCATCCAACCATTTCACCATCTGTTGTCCCCTTCTCATCCTGCCTGCAAATTTACCAGCATCAGGGTCTTTTCCAATGAGTCAACTCTTTGCATCAGGTGGCCAAAGTATTGGAGCTTCAGCTTCAGCTTCAACACCAGTCCTTCCAATGAATATTCAGGACAGATTTCCCTTAAGATGGACTGGTTGGGTCTCCTTGCAGTCCAAGGGGCTCTCCAGAGTCTTCTCCAACACCACAGTTCAAAAGCATCAATTCTTTGGCACTCAGCTTTCTTTATGGTACAATTCTCATATCCATACATGACTATTGGAAAAACCATAGCTTTGACTAGATGGACCTTTGTTGGCAAAGTAATGTCTTTCCTTTCTAATATGCTGTCTAGGGTTGGTCATAGCTTTTATTTCAAGGAGCAAACATCTTTTAATTTCATGGCTGCAGTCACCATCTAGAGTGATTTTGGAGCCCCAAAAAATAAAGTCTCTCAACTGTTTCTATTGTTTACCCATCTATTTGCCTTGAAGTGATGGGACCAGATGTCATGATCTTAGTTTTCTGATTGTTGAGTTTTAAAGCCAACTTTTTCACTCTCCTCTTTCACTTTCATCAAGAGGCTCCATAGTTCTTTGCTTTTTTCCATAAGGTTGGTGTCATCTGCATATCTCAATCAAATGCTCCAAGTGAGTTTTTACCCTCTTGTTTTCATCTGGGTTCCTTCAGAAGCAGAAACTGAAACACTGCTGTTGGGGGACTAGGGATGGGAATCACACCAGCCCTGGACTGATTTCCTTTGGAGATTTTTTTTAATATAAGAAATGAATACATTTCAGGCTTATTTAAGGCCCAGTTATTCTGGATTTTGATAATTCACAACCAAACTTCAGTTCAGTTCAGTCGCTCAGTCATGTCTGACTGTTTGCAACCCCATGAACCACAGCACACCAGGCCTCCCTGTCCATCACGAACTCCCAGAGTCCACCCAAACCAAATTAATCCCAACCAATTCAGAATCCTACCAAGAGTGGGAAGATCCTGGGGATAAGTTCAACTCAAAGGCTACAGCAAACACTTTGAGGTGAACCAGGGAAGCTGAGGTCTTTCCAAACCAAAGAGGCAGGAATGAAGTCAACAAAGATTCAGGGGCTGCAATGAGCCCAAATGGAGCCAGCAGAATGTTGGGGAGAAAGCTAGAAGTCCCTTCTATACCTAGACTGTAGTGCTTAAAGGGAGAGAGCATAAAGTCCCTTCTATACCTAGACTGTAGTGCTTAAAGGGAGAGAGCATAGAGAAGAGGAGATTAGGAGTTAGGATGGCTCAGGATTTGTGATCAGTTAGGCATCAGGAGTGAGGAGAGGGGAGAGCGAAGGAAGGATGGCCTTAGGTCTGTGGCTTGGGAAACTGGATAGACGGTGCTGCCAATTTGAGAGAGGTCACTCAGAGGAGAGAGAGATTTCGAGAGACAATCAGATTTGGAGAGGTGAGTTTTGGACCCATTGGGGTTAAGGTGCTCATGGGAGACCCGAGTGGAGATGTTTTTAAGCTGTTGGATGTGGACTCCACAAAGGAGAGTAGGGCTGGCAATATTCATCTAGACCAGTCAGTCTATAGATGG